GCAATGCTTACGGCATCCGATTCTATGATTGTTTTGGGCGATTTAAATCTGCCACACATTTCATGGAACATCATTGACACCGATGTTGTACCAGTTTCATCTAGATATAGTTACAATGTATTTCTGGAGGAAATGGCTGAACTTTGCCTCAAACAAATAAATATATGTCCAAATAAGTTTGTAAAGGTCTTGGATCTCGTTTACGTTGATGATGTTCCGAAGGCCTCTATTAATCGGTGTGATCTCCTAGTTTTGCCGGAAGATGCATACCATCCTGCTCTTGAGTTAAGCTACGAAATCATAGATGAAATACATAATAATAAGTCCAGCTCAAGTACTAGATATGTTTTTGCGAAAGCAAATTTCAGGAAAATTAACAAAGAACTTTCAAAGTTATCTTGGCCAATATATAGAGATGAAGTGGAGCGTAGCGTTGAGCACTTTAATGTGTTATCTCCTGCTTACCACAGGTGCCATGCCCCAGAGTAATCTTGCCAGACGCAGCTCCTCGGCTAGATCAAGAGCGGATCGTAGGTCCCCAACCCGCTGCGTCAGGCCGTGGGGTGGCGTAACAAAAAGGAGGTGTTCTGCAACGCTCCACATCACATCATTAATCGCCCTCCCGACCTTGGTTGCCATTCTCGCCGTTGCATTTTTTCTTTTCTTGACAACCCCCTTTTTATTCCTATCACGTCCACCATGCCATCTTCCTCTTACCTCATCCTTCTTAACTCATCCCCCTTTTTATAATTCCTTAAAAACCAAACATATTTAGGTCTTTCTTTTCAAATGAAAATACAATTTATTTGGTTTACCATCTTAACAGTTATACTAAATTTGTAAGGTTTAAATTCAAAAAAAAAAAAAATTAACTTTTAAATTAATGATACTAATTATGTTCTCAAATTGTATATAAAAATTCTCTTTTGGACCTCAAACCGTCTCCATATTAAAACAAATTATATACACTTCGAACAAAACCTGCCAGAAAGAACTCTTTTAGGGGTGGTTCTCAGGGGGATTTTTTTTAAATCTCAAGAAAATGATAGAATTTTCTTCAATATGGGGGGTAGGTTTTGCAGTCAGTACACCAATAGAACAAAAAAACAAATTAATGTCGGAACAAAAAAAGAAATACAAAAATAGATATGTGTATATACGTAATATATACTTAATTAAATCGGCTACCGGCAAACGCACATCCACGGGCAGAAATTTGCCCGCACTACCCTAGTGAGCGGCTATATATATCCGGCCTTTCAATGTATGAAAGCTTTTGCACACTTTAACAGTGGCGGGCTAACAGCAAAAGTTTCCAACAGAAAAATGTTGCAGCCGTTCTGCAAGTTGCGATACCGAG